GGTGCCTAATAAGTGCTCCATAGGGTAGAGAGTGGTTCTATGCGCTATGGTTCTGCGCACTGACACTGATATTGGGGGCGGGGGCTAGGATGGCCACGCGCAGGCAAGCATGTGTCCCAGGGGTTGCATCGCGGGGGGCCGAGGCTCCCTAACTCTGCCCCCCCCCCCCCCCCCCCCCCGCCCCCCCCCCCCCCGCCCCGTGAGCAGGTACGTCATCAGCAGCCTGGAGCTGCTGGTGGCGGAGGATTACATGATCGTCTACCTGAATGGCGCCACGCCCCGCCGCAGGATGCCGGGCATCGGCTGGCTGAAGAAGTGTTACCAGATGATCGACAGGAGGTGCGTGCGCGCCAGGCTGCCGGGCGCCCCGGGGTCCCCTGGGAGGCCGCGCGGTCCTCACCCCGCCCCCCCCCCCAGGACCACAATGGGCGGTCGGAACCCGGGCGCCCCGGGAGATGGTTCGGGAACGGGAGGTGGCTCGGGGACTAAACGTCAGGGCGGCCGTTCACAGGCTGGGCGCAGAGCCCAGCCTCACAGCCCGCGACCCCCCACCCTGAAAACCGAGCCTGCAGTCAGCGGGGAGCACCGGGGAGGCGGCACCTGTTAGCTCCGCCCTCTCCGGGGCCTTTCCTCTGCCCCTCCAGATTGCGGAAAAACCTGAAGTCGCTCATCATCGTGCACCCGTCCTGGTTCATCCGCACTGTGCTGGCCATCTCCCGCCCCTTCATCAGGTAACCACTGCCCCCGTGCCCGCCCCTCCGGGTTGTGCGCGTCCCCTGTTGTCATCTGTATTGGGCACTGCTCTGCGCGGACTGTGTATTATTGCTTTTTTGTTTCAAGATTTTATCAGAAAGCGAGAGCGCTTGCGCATGCGCACAAGCATGGGCAGCATCAGGCAGAGGGAAGGAGAAGCGGGCTCCCGGCTGTGCCGGGAGCTCCATCCGGACCCTGAAAATAGGACCTGACGCTTTAACCGCCTGAGCCACCCAGGCGCCCCTGTTCTGTTGCTGTAAACCGTTTCCAGTCCCCCGTGTTGTTATTAAGGGAGGAACACAGGAAAAACACTAGCAGGCAGCCCTCGCGTAGTAAGTGCTGGAAACCTTTCCACGTTTACACCCACCACCTGAGGGGCTGGCTGATGCTGTCTGGATCCCATGGCATGGGCGAGGGAACTGGGGCTCAGAAGGGTCACGGGACCCAGCCAGGGTCGTGCATCCAGGTCGCTAGCCCACCCCAGCCGCCCAGAAGTGAGTCCCTCTCCGTCCGCTCCTGCGTCTGCGCGGGGACCCTGAGGACGCCAGGAGGGTCCGAGCCCCTCCCAACAATAATATCACGAGCAGGGTGTGCTGGGGGGCCCTCGAGAGCACCTCAGCTGTGACAATTCCCTGCAAGGACTCGCAGAATGCAGAGCTGTTACCGTTTGCCACGGAGACGGGACACAGGTGGAAGGTGGCCAAAGACAAAGGTGTCCGCTCCCGCAGGCGGGTAGCCAAAGTCCTCAATCGTCCCTGTGATGATGTGTGACGATAACGGAGGAAGGATCTTGCTCTCCTAGGTTTTCATCAGGGTTTAGCCCCCCATCCCACCATGGAGTCTTGGTTCCTTCTTTGCAAGGGGCGGGGCTTGAGCGCCCCAACCTGCCGGTTAACCCTTTATTGCACCATGTAAAAGCCCCCGATGTGCAGATCAAGTAAAACAAAATCAGTCGTGTGAAACGCCCCAGTCAATCACATAAACCCGATATTTAACTTACCGTGATTCAAAGCATTGAATCGAATCGAGATCCTTCAAGGAGCGCCCGGCTGGCGTGAGCAGTAGAGCACGGGTCCAGCTCTCGATCTCAGGGTTGTGAGTTCGAGCCCCACCTGGGGCGTAGAGATTGCTTACGTAAATAAACCTAAAAAAAAAAGACCCTTCCGGTCCACATTCCCGGGCAGTGATGTGTGATGAGCTTGAGGGAGGGGCCGCCCTCGGAAACCGTCGCGCTCTCAGCGTGAACACTTTGCCAGGAGGTGACCTCAGCCGGTCTGTGTTTAAAGACCCGCCAGCACCTTCAAATATTCGTGTACTAGTAAAATCAAGTGAGTCATACGCTCATCACGGGCCGTGTGTGTAGTGATGAACCCCCCTGTGGAAACGGGGGGCAGGCTCAGAGTCTAACAGAAGACCACGCTGCTGTCTATCCCCTAACTGGGAACCAACACTTGCTTCGAAGGCAGGTAGCTCTCTCACTCGTGATTGCTTTCCCACCGCGGATATGGGGGGTCGCATTTTGAGGTTTCACAGCAAAAGAAGGAAGCGGGAGAGAAAAGTGAGCTTCCCCATTTACAAGCCGAGGAAAGCGGAGACCATTCTGAGCCCCGGGCGGCCCTGTGGGTGTGTGATCAGAGCGCTGGGGGTGCCCCTCGCCCCGGTGAGGAGTTCTGTCTCCCGGGGGCCCACCCCACCCCCGCCCATGAGACAGGAGGCTGACCCCACAGGCAGACAGAGCCTTGTCACCACGGGGATTCGGACATCGGTATCCGAGGGCAGACATGGTGGTGGGCGTCACCAGGTGGCGGCAGCCGTACTTTCCACCCGTATTCCTAGCCCGGCGCTTGGAGCAGCAGGTGCGGTCTCTGCACACCCTAAAACCCTTACTAACAAATCAGCTTGGTCCACCCTCCGAGCCGGCTGGGCCGAGCAGTATGGACATGATTCTTGCCTGTCTGAGGCTCAGTCCCTGCCCGCAGGCCCTTCTTGTGACAACAGGAGGGAGACCCCAGGCTCCAAAAATAACCGGGTTGGTTTCTCTTTTTATTAAAAAATGTTTTGAACCGCACGAAAGCAGTTGCCGCTGCTCACCGCCCCGCACACGGCCACGTGGTGACTCTCCGTGGGGAACGTCTATCGTGCCTCATCAGTCACCAGCGGCCTTCTGCCGAGCGACGGCTTGCTTTTCCCCTGATGGACACCGTGAACCGTGTAATTCATCACGTGTCTCCCTTCGCATCGGCAGCAGGAAAGCCGAGCCGCATTTTTATCTCATCCCTACAAACAGATAGGAAGCGCTGTAGCACTCTTCGGTAGATGCTGGGCTCTGTCTTACATTTATTTTTATACTGTTGCTCGATGACTTTTATTTTCTGTAGGGCTGTATTCTGCAGGTCTTCTCAGAGAAATTGTTTGACCTTGAAAAAAAGCATATACTGCATTGTAGCAAACTTGGGTGTAATTAAATCTTTAAAAAATAATAGTAACCAGGAGTTCAAAGCAGCAGCTGGTGACAAAGCTCAGCAGGGACTCTGCCCTTGACCCCGGGTGCTGCTCTGTCCACCCCACAAGGGCCGGGGGTAGAGGCTAGCCTGGGCAGGGACAGAGGTTTGATGGAAGGTGCTCGGGGCACCCCTGCTGGCCGGCGCTCCTTCCGGGCCAGGGCTGCAGACCTCTCCCTCCTCTTCCTCCTGCCAGCGTGAAATTCATCAACAAGATCCAGTACGTGCACAGCCTGGAAGATCTAGAACAGCTCATCCCCATGGAACACGTGCAAATCCCGGAGTGCGTGCTACAGTGAGTGTCCCATCTGCCGTGTGAGTGTCCCCGCCCCCATGCCCCACGCCCCTCTCCCCGGGGTCCCGCGCCTCCCCTCTCGGACACCCGGGAACCAGACATGAGTGGGAGCCGCAGAGTGGAGGGAAACGCAGTGAAACACGTGCACGTGAGATGAGAGGCCACGTGGTCCCTCGAGCCACGGCCCACAGCTTGTTTTCCCAATAAAGTTTTATCGGCACAGCCGTGCCCATCCACGGACAGATCTGCTGTGGCTGCTTCCGAGCTATGTCTGAATGAGTAGTTGTGGCTGAAACTGGCCTACAAACTGGAGACTATCTACCCTCCAGCCTTTTATAAGAGCACGGCCCTGCCGAGGGGGCGTGTCAGCGAGGCTGCTGCTCTCTAACGGGCCATGTAGTTGCTGGGGCTGAATCAGGCCAAAAAAATAAAAAATAAAACTCTGCTGAATTATTTCTACTGGATGCTGGAATATGCCAGCAAGACAGGTACTCCCTCCTCGGCGGGGGTGGGGGGCTGGGGGCTTGCCCAGCTGCTGCAGGAGACGGGACAAAGACCATCAGACTGTCCTCTGCGGCCGTCTCTCGGCTCCGACGCCCGGCGTGTAATTCAGACCTGAGATTGTTTCTCCGTTCCCGAGAGGAAAGGGAGTCGCCGGGCAGCGCGCCGAGGGGGGGAGGAGGGCTGCGTCTGATGCATTTTTACGTTCTCTCTTCCAGGTATGAGGAGGAGAGGCTCAAGGCCAGGAGAGAGAGGTCTGTGCGGGGCGGGGCGGGGGGTGGGTCGCGCCAGGGTGGGGTCAGGGCTGGGCCCACAGTGAGGGGGCAGCTGGTGGCCTCGGCTCAATGGGGACCAATCACTCACACACACACACACACACTCACACACACACACACACACACACACAGGTGTGTGTGCATGCGCACGTCCTTGTTGGGAGCTTTGAATCAGACCGGGGTTCCGATCCAGCCTCCCCCACTGGTTTCCCGGGTCAGTTTTCCTCCGTAGCATAACCGCGAACGGTGGTCTCAGGACCTCCGGGTTATTGCACCCCCACCCCCCAGAGAGGGCCCGGCCAGGATTCTGGACAGCGTCTTACAGCCCCGGGATCCAAGGCTCAGAGAGGGCAAGGCACCTGCCCAAGGCCACACAGCAAGTCTGGGAGAGGGTTGGGGCTCTCTGTCCTGGCTAGGCCCTTGCCTGCCTCGGTGAAGCAGGTGGCTAAGACAGAGTCCTGGTCCAGAGGGTCCTCGAAAGGCAAAGGAGAGGGACACCTCAGCGAGTAAGGAGAGCGGGCCCTGTGGCGGGGTGAGTGAGGAGGGCGAACGAGCCGCGCCAGGAGGAGAGGCGTGGTGGCCTCCCACGGTGTCGTTTGGTAATGACAAGCCGTGGGCCACATGGAGGAAGGCCGAGAGCAGGGGGGACACACCAGCCCGAGCCTTCTCCTCCTCTTCCCTACCCTCCCCCCAGCCTTCCATCCTCTCTCTCTCTCTCAGTGTTTCACTGTAGTAAAATACACACCACATGAAACTCCCCATCTCCGTCTCTCTCTGTCCCTGTCTCCCCGCGGGGGGCCCCCTGGCCTCCCACGCCTTAGCCAAGGAGGGAGCAGAGGCCAGCCCCGCAAGCCAGAGTCAGGGCACAGGGTGACAGCGTCCGCGGGACAAGGGCCACGGGACGAGGGCACGAGGTGTCTGGGATGACGAGCTGGGATCAACGTTCAGGGTCTCTCCTCCCTGTGATGCCCCCACTTACACCCCTTTCCCCATGGCTGCCTCTGCCGTCAGTAACCCTGGGGGATCTCTGCACCCTCGGGGCCTTCCACACCTGCCCTCAGGGGCCTCAGTGAGCCATGCAGGCTTGTCACCTTTGCTGTCTCCCTCTGTCCCCAGCGCCAGGCCGCCACCAGAGTTTGTCCTGCCCAGGTCCGAGGAGAAGCCAGAGGCAGCTTCGGCAGAGGACAGGTGAGTGTGTGGGTGACCACGGGCGAGGCTGTGAGACCCCGAACGGCCGGTAAGAGTGACTACAGCACTATCATGACGGGGACTGGGAGCGCCGTGGCGATGGCCGGCATGAGTGGGTGCTCGGAGTCGGGGTCCCTCTCCCGTCCACCCCGGGCCAGCCCCACAGGGACACCCACAGAGGCCAGCAGTTCCACTGAAATGTACGGTCATGGCGCTCGGCCGGCTCCATCCCACACTGGGACTCTTGATCTCGGGCTGTGAGTTCGAGCCTCATGTTAGGCATAGAGAAAACTTTAAAAATAAATAAATAAAATCTTTAAATATAAATAAACTGGGGCACCTGGGTGGCTCAGTGGGTTAAGCATCTGCCTTAGGCTCAGGTCATGGTCTCAGGGTCCTGGGATCGAGCCTTGCATCGGGCTCCCTGCTCAGCAGGGAGACTGCTTCCCCCTCTCTCTGCCTGCCTCTCTGCCTCCTTGTGATCTCTGTCTCTGTCAAATAAATAAATAAAATCTTTTAAAAATAAATAAATAAGTAAACTAAGTAACTAACTAACTAATAGCTGGTAAGATGTAAAAGCCTTCTCCCGGGGCTTCTTCCATTTTTTAAGTGCACATTCCGGGGACCTTTGGGGCACAGGCAAAGCTGTGCACCCACACCCATCTCTAGGTCCAAAATGTCCCGTCACTGCAGAGGGGACCCCACACCCATTAAGCTGTTGCTCCCATGCCCCCCTTTTCTTTTTTCACACCCAGCAAATGCCCCTGCAAGTCCTCTGGCACCTCGCCCTGGTGCAGTGGAAAGCCCCGCCTAGCTCGGGCCCTCCCTCTCCCCACCACCCAGCTCTGCCCCGGCTGGCATCTGGCCCTCCGTGTCCTGCTCTCGTGGGGCTCACGGCCGGATGCCGAGGCTCCCCAGATGGGCAAATCGTGCTAAGACGTCTCTCTTCCACAGGTCTGCTCCGGGCACAGAAGACCAGGAGACAAGGTGAGTGGGAAGCAGAGCTTTCTTGGTGTCTGCTTGTCCAGATGTCCTGGTGGAGGTGTCCCCACTGCAGGAGAATGGCCCCACGATTCACCGGGGCCGAGGGCCGCTGTACCGGGGAGCCAGAGAGGCGTCGGCTCCAGGACTCCAGGGTCTCCGCTGCGGCAGGCAGCCTGTCCCTGCACACCTCCAGGGGGCGCCATCGCCATGAGGCCCCAGAGCTAAGCCACATGGCAGCCCTGACTGAGACCCGTGCCTGCATCCAGGTCCCATAAAGCCTGGGCTACTTATTTTTAATTTTAATTTTAATTTTAATTTTAAGTAGGCTCCAATGAGCCCACTGTGGGGCTTGAATCCCCGGCCCTGAGACTGGGAGTCCTGTGCTCTATGGACTGAGCCAGCCGGGTGCCCCAAGCCCAGGCTTTCCTACTCAGCCACGGGGACACCGTTGGCCTGCGGCCTGTCCCAGGGTCCCCACCAGCTCCAGATGCCAGGAGAAGCCTCTCTGTGAGTGGGGGGTCATGGAGACCACCCCCAGGTTCAGCTTTGCTGGATGGACCCACAGAACTCGGCGAAGCTGTAGTGCTTACAATTGTGGTTGGTTGGGGGTTTTAGAAATTTTTTTTTAAAGATTTTACTCATTTATTTGAGAGAGAGAGAGAGCATGTGCCCACAAGCAGGGGGAGCAGCAGGCAGAGGCAGAGGGGGAAGCAGGCTCCCCGCGGAGCAGGGAGCCCGATGCGGGGGCTCGATCCCAGGACCCTGGGATCTGACCTGAGCCGAGGGCAGACGCTTCACCAACTGAGACCCCCAGGCGCCCCACAATTGTGGTTTAATGCAGTGGAGGGAGCATCAGCAGTGAGCGAAGGTGCGTGACGCCAGGGCCCGGAGACACCAGGGGTGAATGAACCTCCGGCTGTCGCCTGCTGGGGACTTACCAGACAGACCCCGGTTCTCCCAGCAGCCTGTGGCCATACGCAGGACATGTTTCCAATCAGAGACTCCCCCACGTCCTGGTGTCCAGGGCGTTTGTGGGGGCAGTCCCTCAGGCGTGGCTAATCACCCCCCCCAGAGGTCAGGCTGATCCCCACCCCCCAAATCACACTGTCAGCACAGACTCTCTCCCACGACCCAAGGTCCCCAGGTAAACAGAGACCCTCTCGCCCGGCTGGGCACTCCAAGGACTAGGTTACCTCCCAGGATCTGGGACTCGGCCGGCTATCCCTTCCTTTGGAATGTGCAGTGTTAAGGGCTAATCCTTGACCACACCCTCTCCCCCAAATCTGGGACGTGGCCCAACCATCTGCCTTAATAGCCCCCACTCAACCCGGGAAGCCCCAAGCAGAGAGAGAAACATCGAACACGGTCTTCGACCAGCACCGCCCGGGACACACTGAGTGGAAACGTGTTCTCAGTGCATCCCCGAGACCGTCTCAAGCCCTGTCCTCCGGGGGGGGGCGGTTTCCGTCCACACTCACAGAACAGGCAAGGAAGTCACGCACCATGAGAGAAAGCCAGCGGATACAGCAACGGCAGAGTCAGGTCCTCCTGGGAAGCCTCAGCAAGGGTTGGTGAACTAAGGATGTGTAACCATATTAAAGACAGGAGCACCAGGGTGGCCAGGTCGGGGAAGCGTCCGACTCTTGATCTCGGCTCAGGTCATGATCTCGGGGTCAGGAGATCGAGCCCCTCATCGAGCTCCTTGCTCGGCACAGGGTCTGCGTGTCCCTCTCCTTCCCTCTCTGCCGCTCCCCTTCCCCTTTCTCTCTCTACAATGAATAAATAATATCTTCAAACATAAAGACACAAAAGAAGAAACTGTAGGAAACAACGGATGGATGGACAGACGGACAGATGGTAGGTGCGCAGATGGCGGATGGAGGGATGAAGGACAAAGGGCTGCTTGGAAACTTCCCTCTGGTCTGACTGGAGGCGCCGGCCCCAGGCCCGTTCTGCTACGGCGCAGAGAGAGTGGGGGGCAGTCAGCAGTACCGCTCTTTGTGCCGAGGACACCAAAGCCGGATTCCACACACGGCCGCTGCTTGAAAAGCGATAATAATGACCTGACCTGTGTTTATCCCTCTCTAGCCTGTCCTGAGGTGACAAGAACACAGAAAAGGACAAGAAAGAAGATTCCAGATGCCAAGAAACCTCTGTCAGACGCCCTCCGGCCCTGGACCTCATCCCCGCCTCGTCCTACATCCCCGTCTTGGGAGGATGTCCGTCTCCTCCGCCCATCTCTGAAACCCAGCATCCTTTTTAGCTGCTTGAAATTTTTTTTTTTTAAACAACGCAGTATTCGTGTGTTCCAGAAAAGGACCTGGCTCTCAGCCCTCCGCCCTTCCACACCCGTGAGCTCACAGCCAGGGCGAGCAGCTCAGGGCGTGGCCTGGGTGTCCTGGACGGCTTCAGAGTCCCCTCCCACTGCACACAGTCCCGACTCGAGACCCCTCTCTTGCTTGTCAGCAGGCTCACGTTGGAGCCACCGACGCCCACCAGCTCCCTGGTCGGATCTGGACTCGTTCTTGTGCCTTTTCTCCTAGAACAGCCCCTGCCACTCTGGGCATCAGGCTTGGAAGCTCCGCCCCCAGCAGTGCCATGCCCCGGGGACCTCCCGTCGTTCCACCTCGTGGGTTTTCATCTGACCGGCTCCCCCCGTCCGTCTCGTACAGCACTCCCCTTCTTTGGGAACATCGGCGCCTGCAGCAGCAATGAGCTGCCAGTAATTACCGTCCCTCCCTTTCTAGAACATTCTCAAGCCCGTCTAACATGGATGCCACACCCCAGGGCAGTCCTGGTCAATACCTCCTCCTGAGGGAGTGGTGCCCCCACTTGCCTGATCCCCCCCAGTGCAGGGTTGGGACGCACCCCTCAGGCTCCCGCCAAGGGCAGTGGGCTCTGAACTGCAGGAAGGAAGATACAGGGTATTACAGGTTTGGGTAGTTGGAAGTGCACTTGGGAAAGGAAGTCCCTGTGGCCTGGAAGCTTCGGGGACCCGCGTCAAAGGAGGACAATTCACCTTGGACAAAAGACAGACTTTTCTGACGCAGCCCAAACAGCGGTCAGGCGGCTGCTAGAGGTAGTGAGTTCCCCATCCGTGGAGGCATTTAAGAGGAGGCTGGGAAGTGCTTGCAAACTGTGGTCCTGTGCAGTCCCCTCCGATCTTTGAGTCTCTATTTATATAAATCTCAGCGATAGTTGACAGGGCACCTTCTCCAGGCCCCTCCTGGCTCTGTAGCCGGCTTCTCAGCGGCCAAGATTGTGCTGAGTGTGAGGTTCTCGGCCTCAGTGGCCAAGTCAAATGCTTCTCGACCTGGGACGCTGGTGTTTGGGGGTTATTCCAAGGGCGGGAGGGAGCCAGTGGTGTTTGGTGCTGAGGGAAAGGAATGCCCAGCGTTTTGCTGCGCGGGAGAGGGTCCTGCCCTGCGTGTCCAGGAACTGACCCACCGTGAACCCCGGGGAACACTGGGGAACTGCCCCCCGCGTTGGAAAATGCCGAGTTTCTGGGCGAGATTAGGCCTGCATCTTCTGGGTCACAGCCCTGCCCGCGGAAGGCGGGGACGCTGGGGGCCTGAGTGGGGGGGGCGGGAGTAAATGTGTGTTTCTGCCATGTTTCCCGACCAGAGGACAGGACCATGTTCCAGTCCCAGGGGTGTCACCTGCCGCCCTGGCGGGGGGCCTCTCTAGGCTGCCCTCCGAGAGGACCCCACCGCCCGTCTGCCTGTGGCCCGGCCCAGACCCGGGCCTGGTGGCTGTCCCTCCCCAGATCAACACGTGCACCCCAGAGCTGGAGCCTGGCTGCACGCTAAGGGACAGGAACTGAGGTGTCCCACCCTGTGCCGCGGTTACCAAGCACCCAGGGAGGCGACAGAAGGACAGGAAGCGGCAGACCCCAGCCCCCCACCCCCACCCCAGAGGAGCCTGCGGCCGCGCACAAAACCACTACAGGCCCAGTGTGGCCGGCCCACCGCCCCTCCGGACCACCAGCAGCCACAGACGACAGGCAAGTGGGACCCAGGACCCCAGCTCGGCCGCGGCAGCCCCTCGGGATCAAGAGAGACGCCGGGGTGGGGGGACTGGCCCCAGGCTCGAGAAGTCCCAGCACACAGCTCCGTGCAGACGGGGCCACCGCGTCCGGGCCGCCTGCTGCCCGTGTGTCAGAAGTGGCTTTGCGAGCAGCGGTTGTCTCCGGAGCGGTCGTGGTCAAAACGCCAGCGGACCCCGGACCTCGTCGGAAAGGGACGCCGGTTTTCCTCCCGGGACACATGGGATGCGTCCTAAGTCGTAGGTCACACGCCCATAACGACGGCCGGTTTTGTGGTTTTTAGAAACGATCCGTTATGATTACTGTCGTGATGTTCAAACGTCATCTCCATGAGCTTCGGGGATTTTTATGTGGAAATAAAGAGGGGATAACTGAGAAGGGGGGTTCGTGTCATCGGTCCGCTTCCCTGAGCTGTGGCGCTGGCCTTGGGCCGGGAGCAGACGAACCGGCCTGAACTCCCGCCTGGCGACCTCGGGAGGGTGGCCTCAGGTGACCTTGGGCAGCCTCGGGCGACCGTGGCTGACCAGCAGGTGCCTCGGGTGACCTCCCAGTCCTCCCTGAAATCAAACGTAGTCAGAAGGTAGTAGTAATAATAATGCAGTGATCTGTCTATGTTACTACCACTATGACTGAGCGAGAAGATGTCCACACTCGCACCAACACTTCCCACACCAGGCAGGGGGGAGGGGTCCCCACGAGCCACTCTCTGGCTCCCAGTGGAGTCACATGGACCTCACAGGGGGAGGGCTCGGCCTCCACCTCAGGTGCCAGTCCCCAGGAGCGGGCCCCCAGGTCCCCTGCGCTTTTGTCCCAAGTGGCCAAAAATCAGGAGTTCCCTCAACCTTCCCCCAGCAGCTCGCAGAACTCTAGAAGGTTTCTGTGTTTTTTACCTGACCATGACAAAGGATCTGACCCAGGAACAGCCAGCCAAGAGATGGGGGCGGGGTGGAGGGGGGCCGGGCGTGTGCAAGGGGAGCGTCACCCACCAAAGGCGTCCTCTCGCAGGCGTGACTGGTTAACCGCTGACCGTTGGTGATGAACCCCACCCCCAGCCTGTGGCTGTCGCTTTCTAAGCTCCCCCCACTTGCAGAAACTCAGGTGTGGGTAAAGGGCGTGTCACAAACAGCAAAAAAGACGCCGCCTCCCCCCCCCCCCAGCCCCGAGCACTCTGGACCCTATTCAGGAACCAAGGACAACTGTTCTCCCTCTTCTCACCTAGGAAGTCCCAAGGGTTTAGGAGCTGTGTGGCGGGAGCTGGGACCAAGATGAACCTCCGTTAATCTGCCAGCTCTGGGGGTCCCACAGGGTCCCGGTCCCCCCTGTGGCTCCCAGCCTGGCGGGGGTGGGGGAAGCTTGACCCAGGGAACCAGGGTCTCCCTGGGGACCAGGACGAGGGGCCAGGCCCTGCCCCGGAAAGAGGGGTCCTCTCTGATCGGAGACCCGATGGGAAAGCAGCAGCCAGCCCAGCCAGCGGACAGGTGGAGGGCGTCCCCAGCAGAGGGCCCAGCCCGGGGAAAGGCGTGGGGGCTGGGTCAGCGGCACTGGTGTTACTGGGACCCAGAGCTCGGTGAGGACCTGGTCTCTCTCCCTCTCTTCTAAATTTACCATTGGTGGCATTTAGAACTTTCGCGACATTGCACAACCATCACCACTATCTAGTTCCGGAACATTCCATCTCCACCAAAGGGAAACCCTGTCCCCAGGAGCAGTCACCCCCTGAGGCCCTGGCACTCACTAACCTATTTTCTGTGGATTTGCCTGTTCTGGACGTTTCACATAAAGGAATCGAACACTTGACCTGTGGGCTTGTCTGGGGACAGGCGGATCGCACTGTGTCAGGCGAGTGGACACCAGGCCTCAAGGAGGCGCCCTGTCTGGGTATGCAACTGTCACCTGTGCTCTGGGCTTCCTGCCCCACAAGGAAGCTCCCAGGAAGTTCTTACTGCTGGAATTCGGTCAGAGGCCGCACCCCGGAACCAGCGTCCCCGCCTGGCCACCAGCCAGGCGCCCGAGGGAGCTTGGGGTCACGGGCAGCCACGCTGGCAGTCAAGGAAACAGAGGCCCAGAAGGGGCTGGAGGTGGAAGGACACAGGTGGGGTCCCCTGTTCACACTGTCTCTGGAGGCTGCCTTCCAAGTGGCGGTCACGGCGCCTGCAACCTCTCCTAACCTCTGCATCAGGTCAGTCCCGGCTGGAGCCATGCGGGGAGTCCTTTACGACCAGCTGACCCGGTGGCAGGCTCTCTGTGTCCCCGTCCTCGCCGGCCCGGCCCTTGCTACCATCTGTCCTGACACCAGCCGTCCTCGTGGGTGTGGATTTTGAGCCGCGATTCCCTCAGGACCCGGGAGGGGAGCATCTTTGCTCGGACGTCTTCTTCGGAGAAGGGTCCGGTCACGCCCCTCACCCATTTTCAGACTGGGTCCTGTCTTTCTGTCGCCGCGCTGCGAGAGCCCTTTCTGCCCTCTGGTCACTCAGCCCTTCGCTGATCTATGAACTGCAAATATGTCCCCATTCTCTTCCTCGTGTTCAATGCCTACGCGTCCCGCTCCGAGTAGCACCCATGGGGCACGGGGCCATCATGAGGCCACAGGCTGGCAGCCAGCGGGCAAGTAGCTGGACACGCGCTCTGTCCCAGCGGCCCACAGCCCAGGGGCGCCCGATCGGTGGGGTCCCCTTTCTCCGCGGTGGCGCCGTCCCTGACCTCGTTCATGTCCCCCGGGCTTTGCTCCCAGCAACACCCTTGGGCCATGTGGGTGTCATTCATCCCTGCCCATCTCCCTCCCCGCTGTCCCAGGTCCCTTCAACCCCTGCAAGGGCCACCCGTGTACCCGAGGCATAAACAGAGTTGAGACCAACGGAGTGGAAGCGGGTAAGCCCCTGAGGCATGCGGGCCAGCGCCTCCCCATCTGGGAGACCTGGAAGTCCCTCCTGCAGTCCCACTGCCCGTGCCTCTTGCTGGTACCCCGGAGGCCACTCCGGTCCAGCGGTGTGACTCGCAGGTCAGCTTCCTTGGGACTCAGCAGCCTGCCCCCTCCCCGGCGGGGCCCACCTGCTCCCTGACAGCCCCCCAGGGCCCCTGGTTTCAGTGTATCCGCATGGCAGGAGGTCCCGTGAGGGGCGTTTCCACTGAGTCCCACTGAGTCCCGGAAGTCACTCAGGACTCACTCCTGAACCCCTTCTAGGGGTGTTCGGGGGCAGAACTCAGTCCTGGTTTCTTAACCAGGGGGTCCAGCCTGTGGTG